AAGTTCACTTCTTGGGGGTAGAGTTGTATAAGTAAACTTTCAGTAGATATTTCCAACTAGGTTTCCAAATTGGTTGTAGCAACTTACACTGCAAGTAGCAAAATCTACATGTACAACTTTGTCCACATCATTTCCAAATCCTGGTCTTATTGACAATCATTGTATGTGTGTGTATCTACAATTCAGATATGTTTGGACCAAGACATTTGTGGAGGTCAGAAGACAACCCTGGGATAGCCTTCCACCTTATTTCAGACAGGGTCTCATTGCTGTTTTTTCTGCTGTATATATAAGCTGTTGCCAGAGCTTCTAGAGATTCTCTTGTATCTGCCTCCCATCTTCTTAAAGGAGAATTGAGAAATATAGATGCTTCTGCCATGGGTGTCTAGTCCTTATGTGAGTTCTGGGTGTTTGAACCAGGGTCTTTAATGCTTGTGCGAGTAAGTGCTTTCAACCATCAAAACATCTCCCCAGCTCAAAAGCACTTCCAAACCTTTTAAAAAGTTCTTTTTAACCAACTCATTTATTATTTAGATGTTTGTAACTATTATCAGCAGAAATTTTAGCCCCTGAAGATAATATAGTTAAGCATGGTACCTACTGCCATAAAGTCTGGTGCTATTTAAGCAGGACTTTATATCTTCTCTTTTTGAGAAGTGACATTGCCACATAGTCCTGGAAGACTTGAATCTCGTTGTATAGACCAGGCTGGCCTTGAACTCACAGAGATCCTCCAGCTTCTTCCTCCCAAGTGCTGGGTTCAAAGTTGTGTGTCACCATGTCCAGCTTAGATAAAGCTTCTAATGAGATTAATATATTACAATATGTGTTTAGGATAGACACTTAATAAGAAGGGATCTGGTGTCTTTAAGAAGAGAGAGAGAGAGAGAGAGAGAGAGAGAGAGAGAAGAAGAAGAAGAAGGGAGAGAGAACACAGATGACAATTATGTGAAGATATTAGAGGAAGAAAACAATCTGTGAGGAACAACCAGAAACCTCACAATAAAATTATCCTGCCAATCCTTTCATCTTATTTCCCAACTTTGTGTTGTCAGCCTTAGTCCATTACTTATTTTGCATAATCTTTAGATAATCTGTCATGATTGCTGATTATATACACTAAGTATCACACTTAAAATGATCTCAAGTTTCCATTCTTATAGCTCTGTCACTGTATTGAGTACTTGCCTGATTAAACCAAAAGCTTCTTTTAGTGTTTGACTAGTAAGTTTAATTTTATTTAATGAATGGCATTCTTATCCTTTCTTTTATGTCTGTTTCACCCTAAAACTTGCCAACATCCCACAATTTTTAAGATTTTCAAGGTTGGTGAGTTTGAATTTCTGTAAATTTTACCTTAAGAAATGGGCCATAATTTGATCAGTTCAGAGCTGGGAGCTTGGGGACCCCACAGAAGGAGGAGGAAAAATGGTAGGAGTCAGAGGGGGTGGAGGGCATCAGGAGAACATGGCCCACCATATTAACTGAGCAGGACTCATACGGGCTCTCAGAGTCTGAAGCGGCAAGCACAGGGCCTGCATGGCTCCAGGTCTTTTTGTATGCTACTGCTGTTATGTAAATGTTTTGTGGGACTCTGAACGGTAAGGGGTGTCTCTGACTCTTTTGCCTGATCTTGGGACCCTTTCTCTCTTATTGGGTGCCTTGCCCAGCCAAGTCCGATATGAGGGCTTTTGCCTTGACTGATTGTATCCTGTTTTGTCATATTTGGTTGTTGTCTCTTGGAGGCCTGTTCTTTTCAGAAAGGAAGTTGAGGGTTGAATCTGGGGAGGGGGGAAGTGATAGGAACTGGGAAGAGTGGAGGGAGGGAAACTGTTCAGGATACATTATATGAGAGAAGAATCTAATTTCAATAAAAGAAAAAGGAGCCATAGAAAAACAAGTATTTGTTGGCAACAGAATGGGAGGAAAATCATAAAGGAAACAAGATAATGTTATAAATCTGAGTAATGTGTATGTAGAAGTATATCTCATTTCCCTTTTCATGTTAGACATTTCTCATGACAAAAATGTTTAATATCTCCTCATGAAAACATGTTTTTGGAAGTAAAATCAGCTTGACTCTATTGAAAAGAAAAAGAGAGCAAGCAGAGGTATGTTACATTAGATCTTCTGTGAGGATCTAATGTAATTTACTATAAAATGTAATTTCCATGAAAAGGGCATCTTGACATGCTCAACTGGTATTTTTGGGAGTGATATCAAGATACTTTCTCATGTAAATACTAATGCTTCTAAAGGAATTTTCTTTGTCTACGTTGAATTCAACACATGCTGTAATGCTGATTATAAAATTGTTTTGAAATTGGGAATATTTTATAAGCCTTATTTGAAGACACCTGGTGCTACTGTAGCCACAGACTGAATAAAGGACTTTGGGAGATAAGTATGCCATTGCTGGAATCAGAACTCAGAACCCGCTGTTAGTCAGACCTCCCGTTGCTCTGACAAAATGTTAAGCAATGAAGGGTTTATTTTGACCGAGGGTTTCATTTCATCATGGAAGGAAGAACAGCCATCAAGGTGGCCAGAACCTAGAGTAGTCATTGCTTACCTGGTGGCCTTTCTTCTTTTCCTTCTCTGATTATGGCTCCAGCCTATGAGATTTCACACTGCAGGAGTCAGCTTTACCAACCTTGTTCAATTCAACTAACAACAATGACTAACCATGAGACCAATTGGAAGGAACATTCAGAAATGATCTAGAAATAACCCATCCATAATATTTATGACTGTTGGTTTTACTCCATTAGTTTCATTTGTAATTCACATGCTCAAGAAATGTCCATACTCAGTTTTTCAAGTAAACACTGGAGGACTGTGCTACTGATGTTCTCATTTTCTTTATTTCATTGGATGCACATATGTGATTTCTAGCTCTAAGATGATCTCAACAATCAGATTTTAATTTTATTTATTTTACTTAGAGATGTGTTTAATATATTCCGATTTCCTATTGTCTTGGCTCTTAAATGAAAAAGTTTTCTCAGCCTTAATAGAATTTATCTGTAAATAAATCAAACTGCATCAGAAATCAATTATTTTTAACCTATCTTATGTTCTTTAATGAGTACTCACTCACATTTTAAATATTTAAAGACACTTTCCAATTCATATGATAAGAAAAAGGCAAGACAATAACAGAATATAACCATGACATTATCTGCATTTCTGTTTGTTGTTTGTGGAGACACTGTCTTTCTTCCCTCAAGCTTGCTATGCATCTGTTTCAGACTCCTCAGTACTGGGATTAGAGTTGTACATCACTGTGCATCATTGAATGTGATTTTATGCATCATGACATTTCTTAGAATAACTTTGATCTTTGGTCAATCAACATGAGGACATTTTGTCCAATGAAAGGTTATAGCAAAACTCTTAGATTTCTCAAAACCATGACTAATTCTACTCACTTAGAAATCAAATTAAATCTTAAAGTTCTTATGATGAATATCAATTGCTCCTAATTCCTATTTTAAATTATCCATTTTGTTTAGATATTGCTATCATATGCACCTTTTGGCCACAGTTTCCACCTCAATAGTCTCATGATTACCATTACTATTCTCATGTGGCCCTTGTAACAAAGTCTGTTGTTCATGCTGTTTATGAGTCATGTACTTTAGACAACTTAATCTTTAGTTCAACATTTATGTTTCTGATCAACTTTTACATTTTAATAATTTGTTGATGTGATTATTAGGACAATTAAGCAGTGCACCTCTCAAACGCATGAATTTATATAACTCATTAGAGATCAGCTGCACTGCTAAAGAATAGAAGCTGACTGTGGGAAGTTTTCATGGCCAGAAGAGTGATTCTTAAATGTTCCTACACATGAGAGATTGAAGTCTGGATTTCCCTTAGATCAGCAGGCAGTTTGACTCAAGATCTAGAGTGAGCTTGAAAACCAAATTAAAAACAAAACACAAGCATTCACTCACAAACAAGATCCCTAAGAAACCCTTTACACAGTCAGTTTGAGAAACAATGACTCAACTCAAAAGTTTTATGCTTAGATTTGGATAAAAGTCTTTATAATGCTCAGTCTTGATAATGTTCAGTGTTTATCTGAAAATAGCTCATGAAGTTATTGATTTGAACGCATGGTGGCGGTGTAGGCTAAGAGAATGAGTAACAAGTCTTTAGAGTCCTTAGACTCCAGTTTCGCCCGGAAACTGAAGCGAAATACAGAACCGTTTGCTACTGCAGCTAAGACAAAAGCATTCCGGAGGAGAGGAATCACCAGGAACTTGTAAGATAAAATCCAAAAAATTCCACAACGAAGACTTTCCGGAAGGCCAAAGATACCTCCGTGATTAAGAGCTGAAGGGGGTTTTCCCTCCTGTATCAGTAGAGATGCTACACACAAAGGCGTGGTGCAATGCAAGGCAAGTGATGATTTTAATTGCATTGATGCTTTCATGGGAGGTGGGTTCAGAATCAATTCAGTATGCCATGCTGGAGGAGACAGAAAGCGGTACTTTTGTGGCCAATTTGACTAAGGACTTGGGACTAAGGGTGGGAGAACTGGCTGCTCGGGGCGCTAGAGTGGTTTTCAAGGGGAACAGACAGTATTTGCAGTTTGACCCACAGACCCAGGATTTGGTGCTCAATGAAAAGCTGGACCGGGAAGAGCTATGTGGTTCCGCGGAGCCCTGTATGCTGCCTTTCCAGGTGTTACTAAACAATCCATTGCAGTTTTATCAGGCTGCACTGAGAGTTATAGATATAAATGACCACGCCCCAGAGTTCCCAGCCAGAGAGGTGCTCCTTAAAATATCAGAAATAA